TCCCCCTCCTCCCCCCCCACAGGGGGTCTTTCTGGGCAGCGTCTGGGATCTTTCCCCCCCATACTTTGCTCCCCATTTTCCCATTTCCTCTGACCCCCCACCCGCCCCTTTAGTCACTTTACCCATCCTCCTTCCTCCTCCTTTTTCTTCTCTCTCTCTCTCTCTCTCTCTCACACACACACACACACACACACACACACACACACATTCTCATTCCCCTCTCGTGGTGGCCGATTGCCGGGCGTTCCCAATCTCCCTCCCCCACCCCTTCACCAATTCTTAAAGGAACAGGCCTGCAATCTTGGAAGGCGGGAGAAATGGGGGGAAATGAAATGTGCTCGAGGTGTGAGTGTGCATGTATGCACGTGTGTGTGTGTAAGTGTGTGTGGCCGTGTAGGAGCGTCTGTGTGTGCCTGTGTATATGTATTGACTGTGTAACCGTGTCAGAAGGCCTGTGTGTCTGAGTGTGTTGCTATTTCTGTTTCTGTCTCCACCTATATGTCACCATTATGCTGCATGTGTCTCTGGATATTTACCTATGCCGGTATGCACGATTATATTTCAGTAAGCTCTGTGTGTGTGTCTCTGAATGTCTCACTCGGCGAGTGCCCCATGAGGCACTCTGTCTCCGAATGTGGGACTACATGAGGGGATCTCTGTGGGTTTGGAATGTGTGTCTCTGTGAGTGACTATCCCAGTGTCTGATCCTAGCTTGGTCTCTCTCACTCCCTCTTTGAGTCTTTGTGAGTTTATATCTATGAGTTTCTGAGAGTGTCTCCCACATTCTGTAGTTTACTTGACACTGAATGAAGCGTCAACAATGCCTAGGGTGCCAGGCAGAATGGTTTCTGCCTCAGTTCTGGTGGTCCCTGTGAATTAAAGAGCTAGCCAACAGAAAGGACCAAGACTTATGAATGTGGGACCAGGGAGAATCCAAGAGAGATGTACAGGAGTGGAACGAGAGTGTTGGGGGCTCTGGCGAATGGCTGTCCTGCGCCCTGCCCTGCCTGAGGGGGATGGGGCTTCTACGTGGGACCCTCAGCTTAGCCCTTGCCTTCCCTTCTTATTATGCCTTGGTGTCCCAGAGTGAGGTTATCCATCATACCCTCTCCCGATGTGGACACCATCCACGTGTAGGATTACTGAGTCCCAGGGGCTAGACAGCCCAGTGTTCACGCAGCATGCCCAGGGGCCCAAGTTCCATTCCCAGTCCTCGCCATTCTCTGCTACCACATGGTGTTTGGGCCTCAGTGGTCCTGACAAACGCCATTGGCTGTGGAGTTGAAGTTGGAGACTGTGAACTTGCAGTGGCAACAGCTGTCACTCTCTCAGTCCCCTTGGATTCTGCCATCCACGGCCAGGCACACAGAACAATTCTGACCGGTAGTGGATCACCTGTGGGTCGCCAGGACTTGGAGCATGTGGAGCCTCTCCAAACTGTAGGAGACCAGCCCAAGCCCAGCAGGACCTCAAAGACTAACTGTGCAGCCCTCCCAGACCATCCTGGATGACACATACTTCCCTCTTTCCACAGGCCTGTCTGGCCCTGAGGGAGTCCCCTTTCTGAAGCTGTGGTGCTTGCTTGGACGACCGGCTCTCTCCGTTGCTGGGCACCTGTAGGTGTCCCTCGACAGCTCAGTTTTGAGGTTCAAGTCAGTGTGGCCATGAAGGGGCTGCCTGTTGGGCTGATGCTGTGACCCTGGAGTCTGCCTCTCCTGCCAGTCCCCCTGCCCGGAACATGTGGCTGCGGCTTGGCCTGCCCTCGCTGTCCCTGAGCCCCAAGCCCATTGTTGGCCGGAGCCTGTGCCTCACCCTGTGGTTCCTCAGTTTGGTGCTGAGGGCCAGTACCCAGGCCCCAGCTCCCACAGTCAATACTCACTTTGGGAAGCTAAGGGGAGCCCGGGTACCATTGCCCAGTGAAATCCTGGGACCTGTGGACCAATACCTGGGGGTGCCCTACGCAGCTCCCCCGATCGGCGAGAAACGTTTTCTGCCCCCTGAGCCACCCCCATCCTGGTCGGGCATCCGGAACGCCACACACTTTCCCCCAGTGTGCCCCCAGAACATCCACACAGCTGTGCCCGAATTCATGCTGCCAGTTTGGTTCACTGCCAACTTGGATATCGTCGCTACCTACATCCAGGAGCCCAATGAAGACTGCCTCTACCTGAATGTCTATGTACCCACGGAGGATGGTGAGTGCTGCGGCCAGGCACTGGGTGCTCCCTGCCTCCCGCCTGCCCTGTTGTGTTTGTGGCTTTTATGTGGTTGTGTGCCCTGCAGCATGTGTCTGTCTGTCCGTGAAAATGCTTCTAACCATCACTCTGCTTGGCCTCCCCTCTCCCCTCCCTGTTCTTCCCTCTCCCAGCATTGTCCGAGCTCCCATGTGTGAGTGACACTGTTGCCAGGAGGGGCCTGGCCAGGCCTGAGAGCTTTGACAGGTCTAGGTCCAGTGCTGGATGGGGAGTCCCTGGGGGAGTATTGGTCACGCTGGCAGCTGCCCGCGGGAGGATGCTGGCTCCACCAGGCCCCCCTGTTGCCATTCCACCTGTTTCGAAAGGTGGTAGGTGTGTGTGGCCAAGGGAGCTGGGTGTGTGCGTGGGGTGGTGGGGCAAGCCTGGTGGGCAATGCCGAGGTACCTCCTCTTTCACTAGCTGATGCCTCCTCCCGCGGGGGTCACACTAAGGTAAGTGACAGAAACAAGGAGATGGTGGGACAGGCTCTCTGCCATGTGCCGCCTGCAGAGCAGCTCAGCTCTTGGGGCCTGGGGGGTGGGGGGTGCATGCCCCTGGGCAGAGGCCTCCTGTTATTTTTTAGTTTTTTATTCATTTTACAGTAAAGCGGATTTCCAAGGAATGCGCCCGAAAGCCCAACAAGAAAATTTGTAGGAAAGGAGGTAGGTAGCGAGCCGGCGGGGAGGGAGAGAGAGAGAGAGGGAGGGCTGCCTGCCCACCTGCCCTTGCCCCTGAGGACCCAGCCTTCCTTCAAGTAGCCCAGGCTCAGGGGGCGGTGAGCAGGCATAAGCTCCACCTCATTCGAGTCACCTTGGCCGCTTTTCAGGGAGGACTTGGTAACCTAAGCCAGGTTCAGAGCAGAAGCAGCAACCCCATTGCTTCCGACCTTCCCAGCCCCACATTCCACCCTAAAACACGTGCCAAAGACAGAGCCAGTGGCTGTCTGGGGGACAGCTCAGAATGAACCCCT